TTTCCTTMTTCAGGGTAGCAGTTAAATAGGCTTGAGGAATAACATCCTCAAACAGCTGGAGTGTTTCCATGCCCTTGCTTCCCTTCATTAGGTGATGGATCTCTAGMAAAGACTGACTTAAAAAGCCCACACATAACCTTAATGTGCTGTCTCCTGCAAGGAAACATGTAATTTTACTCCAATAAGCGTCTTCCAACTAACCATAACTGAGTTTAAAAAGCCATCTGATTCCATCTGAGGACCAGCCTGCAATGACCCAGCCATCCCCACTGCCCCACTGCTTGTATCCACTTGGGGATGCTTTGGAGCTGCAGCATCAGGCTCCCTGAGGTACCTGATGGTCCCCCTTCAGCACCCTCAATGACTTCCCTGGGAGCAGACCAAACTCAAGCCTAGYCTGGTCCCTCAGCAACCAGGATACAAGCCAAGGACCACTCCCTACAAATCACCAACCAAGAAGATCCTGGCTCCCAATGTGCTCACAAATGGCCAATCAAGATCCCCAAATCCCAACACTCCCCCATCTCTCCAGCATCCCGACTCAGTTCACCACTTTGATTTTGAGCCATTTTTAGCATATGCTCTTCTACATGCAGTCAAGCCTCAGCTCCACCCCAGCTGCAAGCAGCTTCTGCAGAACAGTTAATTTCTCTGATTATTTAACCAGAGGCTTCCTGGCTTTGCTCTCACCACCCACTGCAATAATGTGCAATTACGAGACTTGAAGGAAAATAAAAGGGAAGTGGCATCTCCTGCCAGGTCAGYGCTGCCAAGATCTGTTCTTCAGTCTTCTGACTCTGAAAAAGCAAAAATCACCAAACTCTCTTTTTGCCTCCTGGCATATCATTTCAGACAGCTGCTTCTATACACAGGTTTTACCCTAACATTTTACAGTCTTTGTCTTTCATCCTCTGCTACTAAATGGATGAAAGCCAAAGGCAAYACTGTCAGCAATTTCTGCAAAAAGAATTCAAGCCCATCTTCATGTTTGGCACAGACTGATGGCAAATTTGGCATTTCCAAGATTTGAGAGACAGGTTCCAATTCTCAGTTTTTATTGAAAGGTTTCTGCAAGCTYATTTCCTCATCTCTGGAAACGTCTGAAGAAAGGAAATGGTTATTTGCTAAAATAAAGGCATGARCCTAGTGCGTAGGCTGTTCTTGATCTTCTAAAAAAAAGAAGTCAGACAAGGTTAAACCACAGAGCCCTATCAGCCCTGTACCCACGTCACTCAGGCACCACATGGATAATTTCTCAGGAAAACTTTGACAAACTATCAACTGTTGGATTCCTATCTGCAGGACTGCAAAGCAAGAGCCAGCTGAGGCAGCAAGACTTCCAGCTTCTCCAACCACAGCTACACTGCTCTGCCTTCTCAAGCTCTCTCTGGACAGCCCCTGTTGTGTGGAGGACACAGATGTGGAGGAAGGCTGCCTGCTAACTCAGGCCATTAGTCGYTGCAAGCTCTTCCCAGACCTCTGAACCATTTAATCCAGTGAGAAGCAGTGGCATTTGCTGCCTTGGCTGGAACATATCCATGCTGAGGACATGGGTCTAGTTTTAACACCAGCCTCCCAAGCTACTTCTATTTTTATGTTTGGGCTGTTATTTAAGGCATGTATTATGACCAGAGAGAGGTTAGGGCACAGATGCCAGCTCACGGAGAGACGAGGACAAGTGAACCTCCTCCTGACAGCAACTGCTGATCAGGATCACACATCTATCTCAATTATTTAAACAATCCAGGAATCAAGTCCCTTCAGGAACGGGGTAAGAGTTTGAGCCCCTGCTTCCACCCTAAACCCCTCCTCTTTTGGTAAGGAGCCCAACCACAGTGCCATGTCTTTGCTCCAGCACTGAGCAGTGCTAGTACCACTGTGATCATGCTTTACCCAGCACCCACAGCCTCAGAGCAATCAGTAAAAAAATCCCCAAGCAGGCAAAGCCCTGGATTCCCACTAGGTGCCTCAGAAGGTGTGGGGGATCACCAGTGTGAGGGCAGAAGCCCAAGCACAGCTCCTCTGAGCAGAGGCTCCAGTGCCTACGTCAGACACGGACTTTCCTTTCAAAGGYTGAAGCTGTTTACTGAAAGGATCAGGAAGGAGGAGATGGTAAACTAGGAAGAAGCGGGGGTAGACTGTTTGCAAGAGCTCTGTAAACAGGCAATAAACACACCCCAGCCCCTTGCTGGTGTGYCAGCCAACCTGTGCATGGAGGTCACACAGATGTGAGTGAACAGCCRGCAGCCAGCACAGGGGCTTCACCCCCAGACACAAAGACATTTTACACCCTAATTGATTATTCTCTACATCCCTAGGGCAACCACAAACCARGCTGGCTCCTGAACCTGGAGAGCAGCTGTGGTCCTCACATCTCAGGAGRCTTTGCTCTGGTTGCCTACCATGGAGGGATCCACACAGCAGCACAKGAGGGGAAAGATCTCCCCTCTGCAAGAGCCTGAAGTTTGTTCCTGGCTATACTCACCCCCGTCTGAAATGCTGCTTCAGGAGAAGCACAGTTTGGGCACAAACACTGCTGGAGCAGAAAGCCAAGCCATGGCGCGGCAGCTCAGCAGAACATTTCAGCTGTACAGCCAGTTATTAAATAAAAGGTCAATTTCTTTATGGCACTACACCTCTCCTTTCAATAAACAGTCTTAAGAGACAGACATTTCAACAGGAAAGGCAGAGAGGGATTTATGCACCACTGCAGAGGAGAGTAATTTCCATATCTGACACGACAGAACASCACCACCAAGTAAGAGCTAATGAGCAAGGCCCTTCCAGCTAAGCAACACGATTTGGTTTGCACTAAAAGCAACACAAAGCGTTAATTGGTTTGTGCCCGTCTGTCTGCCTGCCTTGATTGCACAAGGTTCATCTGAGGACATTTGGTGGCAGGAGGAAGTCACGAAGCCACCCATGCCAGGAGGGAACCCGCGTGACTGCTGCACGAATGACTGGGGGTAATGGRGCCATTCACATCCAGGTCTGCGAGGTTCAATAACACTGCACTGCTTTATCACCTACAGGTGGTTTTGCTGTTACGTCCAGATCATTTCCCACGACAAAGGGAAAACTTAGCAAGTGTCTTGTGAAATTGATGCAGCGGTTAAAGGGTGACAGAGAAGGCTGGAACAACTCACCCTGGGAAGCACAGGGTGACACATGAATGACGCTGTCCCCCAAAGSATGACCAGATCTGGGAGATGAGGTTTTATCTAAAGGGTTAAAACAGGTCATTGCTCTCCACGAGAACCTTCTCTTACCTGCATGGTTTCTTTAACCTGAATCATGCTCAGTGACCCCACACTCTGCAGTTCCCAAAAAGGCAGCTCCAGTGTGGCTTCCAGAAGGACCAGCTGCAGCATGAGTACTTTGGCATGGTCTGAAACACCAGGATAGAATCCAGAGCTGCACCCACTCAAAGCAACGYGGTCTGCATTCCCCATCTGGTACAAACTGCCCTGCTCTGAGYTGCTTCAAGAAACAGGAAAGCATCAGAAATTCAACCAACTGCTAATTAAGGTCTTGGGGCAAAGGGTTTCTACAAGTTAGCAACAACCACTCGTTTTTGACCTATGAATCATGGCCAAAGTCACGCATTCTTGGTAGTGCCCACAAACAAGGATGTTTAGTAAGGTTCTGCAACTCCATTGCACATCACTCATCACAGTCTCCAGGACCACACTTTRGGTGCCACAGATTTTAGGGACAATGGAGTGCAGGGGTTATTGGAAAAAATTATCAAAAAGAGAAACAAGTTTAAGAAACTGCAGCCCAAGAACACGAAAGAGTTCAAAGGAAACTGATAAGCAACACAAACATAAGAGAAGGCAGAAAACCCATTTCAACAAGACCTTACTGGTTGTATAAATGAATTAATGAAGGCAAACAAAGTGTAGRTCTATTAATCAGCAGGAAGGTGAAGAGAGTACACGACAGAAGACGCCCTATTCAAAACCTTCTCTGCTTTGTACTTGAGCACTCAAGGATGACTTTCATCAAGGACTGATCTCCCTTAAACCTTCCAATCTTTGTTCAATTCATTCTTTGTTTGTCCCCCTCCCTTGTTAAATGTGCTTTTCTAAAGGTTAACTGTGAACGGATGTTTAAGGTTGAGAAAAGTCAACCCAAAGTAAGGAGTCCGTCAGTCTGCACAGGATAAGGGAGGGTCAAAATTGCCACGGGAGCTTTGCAGAGGAAGAACCGTGCATCCCACTAAAGAGATCGTGGCTACTTGGTGCTCACAGTCACACCACCATTAATTAACCACTGATTTTTATAAATTTACACTTAATAATCACAACATGTCATCTTTAAAGTCTCGTCAGGAAGCTGACAGCAAATCATCCACTAAATGAGCAGAAAACACTACCAAAAAGAGAGTCCAGGSAGACGTGATGACACTTGAGGAGCTGTACATATCCAGGACTCAGCCTTTAAGGAGAACCTTTTGGTTCCAGTGTGGGCAAAGGGCTTGGGACACAAGCCAGCACCTGGGATTTAGGGTTAAGAACTGAAACTGAGGTGCTGCCAGGAGGTGGGGGATGACTCAGCCTTCCAGAAATAGATGGGGGCGAGGGGATAAAGGATGACACCAAAGGCAACCAGACCCATGCCTAAGTCACCAAGAAAATAAGGACGATGTGAAACAGCAGTGGAAAGGGAAGAAAAGGGGGG